TATTAGAAAGCAATCTGTTAAAAGGTATTGTAAAGCAAATGCTATGAGATGCGCACTTAAGAAACGTAATAAAGAGTTTTGGAATATGTATTGTTGAAATGAAGGGTAAAAAAAAATCTGATAAGTATAAATTAAAAGAATTATTCCCCTTACATTTTATAATAACTCAGTTTACAAGTTTTAAATAATACTTAAAAAAAAATTATTTTATTCCCTTTCAGAAATGTTCAGAGAAAGTCAAATACTATTTAATACCTATTTAATTATTAGGAATTCGCGAAATACTTATTTAAAGTATTCGCTAATTCTAATAATTCTCTAATTTAAAATGAACCGAATAGAGCATTAATTATAAATTGACTTACATTTTTCGATTTAAAAGATGCCTCAGAAGCCAAAAATTATGTCATATTTAAGAAAGTATTTTAGGAAGAAGCTCTATAAATAGAAAAGAAATAATGCATAGTTTTAATATTAATAATGCAATAAACTTTGATCTTAATTTTTGTACCTTAACCGAATAAAATCGAATTACCTTAATTTTTTTTCTAATGTAATTAACGAAAACTTATGAAAATATTTCATTGAAATTAAACCATTCTGAGAAAACTGTCCTGTGAAAAGTATAGCATTTAATTCCGTTCAGAACGAAGAAATGTTGTTTAAAATATGTTGTTTTCACATACTTAGGACTCTGAAGTGTTGTAGAAAAAAAGAAAATATATACATTTATATGTATATTTGCGACGTAATTACAAAAATTTTACACCCGAACGCGTCAAATCCCATAGAACTCAATGGTAAATGACCCAATGTTTTGGTCACCACGTAGGATCGCCGGTGCTTCAGAGCAGGGTACGGAAGAGAAACTTGTTTAGGCGACTCCTTCTTACTTCCTACCCCTCCATGAATGTGACGAGGGAAGGAAAAAGTAATTATAGACCAGTGGTTCTCAGCTTCTTTTGCAACCACTTCTAGAACCATTGCGACATTTTACATTTTTATTTGAAATAAAAATTTTGTTGTTTATAATATTTTTATATAATTTTTATGTTGTTGAGATGTAATCAATGACGTCACCTTACTTAAAAGTAATTGGTTTTATTAATATCTATAAATTTAATCTAATGTTTTAAACATTATTTATGGCTGTTAAATGTTAAAATACAATTTAATTTTGCATTTGTTTTAAAAATGATTTTATTATGAATGATTTTTTAAATAATTTTAATTCTATGCGTGATGTAATCAGCTCCCTGATTGGTTACTGAATATTTGTGCATTGCCGCGCCATTTTAAAATTTTATTATTCATCTCTTCGGATTTCAAATGGAATGGACATCTCTGTTTCGAAAATAAATGTTGTTATTGGTAATTACCAAGAATTATTGGTATTGGAATAAAAAAATTGCCCTTTGAGACCTTACTTTGGCCAACCTGTCTTTCCTAATCAAAGATTTATTTATAAATTGTTAATAGCGTCAGAGGAAATTTATTTAAAATTTTTGGAGGAAACCTTGCTAATTGCTTCTTCAGTGAAGTGCAACAGATGTGGATCATAGATGAAGATCATTAAAAGAGCCGATTCTGAGGACGGCTATATTTAGCATTGTGGTTTCGGTGGAAGAAATAACTGCTGTAATGGTAAAAAAAGTATTAGACTTTCCTCCTATTTTACCAGCAGATTTTTTTCATTGATATCTAAATTATGATTACCATTTTTTGTGGTACTTATCAATATACAACAGGTTAAGTACTCAAAAAAATGTAAGTACATATTTTACTTTATAATTGTATACGTCAATTTTTATTAAAAAAATTAATACAATGTGTTTTCAAAAATTGCTGAGATATTTATTGTCACATATGTTTTAATGTTAATTATATTTTATATAACGTATTTTAAAGTATTTGAATTTAATAATATTCTAATTCTTTTTAAATGTTGGTAGGATGGTTTTTAATTCGATATTCAATTTAGTAGTAATTTTAATCTAATTAAACATTGGCACAATGTTTTTATGTTTTTTATGTTTTATTTTTTTTTTTTTTTTTTTTTTTTTTTTTTTGCTATATGAAGTATATAATAGCCTTACTTTAGTATTTTATACTCATAGTAAATGTATTTATTTACACTTGCCTGCCATCTTAAAAAACGACATTTTCAACAAAAAATTAATCCATTACTTTTAACGATATTTACTTTGTTTAAGTTTCGAATACTTTACTATGCGTAAAAACAGCGTTTTTCAAGATGGCTGACGATTGTACAAATCGCGCCAACAATTGCGCCAACGTAAATCGCCAAAAATCCGTGCAACCGTCTACCAAAGTAGCACTCAAAATAGCGATGCAGGCATCCATTCAGTTATATTTAGCAATTTTTATATAAATTATAATAATGATATGAAATAGTTATTTACTCTTATGCTTCCATTCAGTCATGTTTAGCCTTTTTCACATAAATTATAATAATAAAAAAGTATTATATGAAATTAACCTTTCATCTAAATTAAAACATTAATCTTAAATAGTTATTTACTATTATACTTCCTTTCTTGCCGCAACTATTAGGGTTGCCGCAATTATTTTTGGCAGCATTGGCATCAACAATAGTTTGGCGATTTTTTACGGCCCTCGAAACCGAATAGTACCATTTAAATTTATTTTATATTTTAATGTATTTTATAAATAAAACAAGAAAAAGTATAGAAATTTTGTTATTTACAAAAAATGTAAGAAAAGTGGTTTTCTATATTCATAAACCAAAATACCTAAATACTTACAAGATACGTAAACGACTGTATAAGGTTGACCGCATTCCCTCCTGAAACTATGAAATTTCTCTGTGGTAAAGAGCCCCTGGACCTCTAGACTAGACAGGCTTTAAACATCAGAAAAGCAAAGTGTTTTGGTAAACATATTATTGCCTCTGAGTACTTTTTAAGAGTTTTTAATATATTTTACCATGATAAATTTGTAAAATATATAAATATAGAGCAAAATATAAATCTGTTTAATTATGAATTAATGTATGACACACATATACATAGGGTGAAACATAAATTTGAGTAAACAACATAAGCTTAAAAAATACATAAATTACTTACTTTCTAATCAAATAACTCTAAAATTTATATATTTTTGTGATCTGGAAAGATGATTTTAATATGTAATGTACTGCTGTTAAATATAGACTTTTAATGCCTAATCTATTTTGCAATTTTTTTAATGCTTTAAATATTTAAAATAAAAAAAAAAAGAGTAGTTTATCAAAATGGCGCCGAAACGTTTGTAAATCAATCCAAATTCTTCCTGCAGGTTAAGGATGTATTAGAAATTTAATATTTTTTAATTAAATCAAGATGAAATAAATTAATTTTAATCAAGCAAGTAAAGTGACCTATTCTGCTTCCATGCAATGCAAGTTTTATTATGTTTATATGTATACAAACCATATGTAGAAATTTATCAATATACCGAAATCTCTAAGTACCCTTTAATAAAAATGATGAATTTTAAATTTCTTAGAATGAAAGTAAACATTCTGAGAATTACTAAGTACAAAATGAATTTTAATTTTCTCAGAATATTGATAAATACCGAAGAGCTGTCAAATATAAAAATAAAGAACTTATCAAAACACTCATAAATATTTTAAGAACTAAACTTAAACTAACGGATATTAAAAGTCTTAGAAAACTAAAATTATTTAAAAGCTATTAATTATAAAATAATGCATTTTAAAGTTATTAGAAAACTAAATAATATTATAAATATAAATACGGGCAACTATAAAATTTCTGCAGACCGTGATATACAAATCTTAATAATATCTCCATCCCAAATGAAAAATGTGTTAAATATTTAGGCGCTTGTCTCGATCAAAAACTATCCTTCAAAAACCATATCGAAAATATCTGTAAAAAAGCTAACCAAGCAATAAGCAGTATTTATGCACTCATAGGGAGAAATTCTAAACTTAGTCTCGCTACAAAAAGAGTTATCTACCTACAAGCTATCCGCCCGATTTTACTGTATGCTTCCCCAGCGTGGGCTGCAACTGCAAGAACTCATCGCGAAAAAATACAAAGAATTCAAAACAAGGCCATCCGAATAATTACAAATGCGCCTTGGTTCATACGAAACAGCACTCTTCACAATGATTTAAAAATTAAACCCACGGATTCTGAAATTCTAAAAGCTTCTCATAACTTTTTTATGAAATGTGACAGTCATCCTAAGAATATCATCAAAAACTAGGAAATTATGATTTCACAATTGATCAACGCCACAAGAGGCCCCTCACTATTCACCATAATAGTCGGTGGTAATGTATATATTTTCGTTTTCTTCTTAGTTAGCCAAGATTTTACTTCATTTTCTTAACTTATAGATTTACTTATCAAATTACAAAGCACTATGGACTTTGTTCCTGCCAAAGCAGGTAGACTTTGTGTGTAAATAGTTTTTACTCTTGTGATTTGAAGTAAAGTTTCAATGTACTGCAAATTGGTGTTTTTCATCATTTTACTTGCCAATTATTGCTTTTCAAAAGAATAATTTTTATGAAATTTTAAAAATGCCTTACAAAACATCCTGCAAGAGATGGCGCAACCAGTCAACTAAAATGCTTTTGATCACTACTAATAGATGACGCCACACGAGCACCTCTTTTGTTCAAAGTTTACTTATTCTACGGACGGCGGCACAGGAGCCTCCGTCGCTAGTAATCTCTGAGTTATAGCACAGCATGTGTACAAGTACTTTTATATTATTGGATACAACTTACTCGATTCTTCAAGCATTTAAAAGTCAAGTATCATATATTGGTAAAGGCCGTTAATGGTCGATTGCCTCTTACTAAGTGAAGACATAGATATAGACATAGACATAGATATACAAATCAAGAAACTTGCACAATGAAACATTACTTAAGATGCACAGTTTGTTTAATTCTATTTTAAAAACTAAATTAATTAAGATTATCTTAATTCGCAAACAAGTATTCACGAATTCTGTTTCACAAATTACTTTTAATATCTTATTACATTGCATTCAACTCCACATACATTAAATTTCAAAATTACATATATTGCATATCACATCTATGATAACGAAGCAGAAGATATTGATATCCTTCCTTGGTAATCTAGTAACTTGGTGTAATTGCTCCATTATATTATGCCAATACTCTTTCATGACAATGTAAGTTGCTGCTGCTATGATACAAGTTGCCAATAGCATATAATCTGCTTTAATTTTTGTAAATTCATTATCCATATCTGCATGCGACGTAAAATGTGCACCAGTAATACTTTCATATAAACGACTGTATACCTTTATTCGATTTATGTATACCATATCTAGCACTTTAGACACAGCATAAAAAAGGGCTTCATCTATTCTTGGATCATTAGCGAAAAGTATACCAAGTAATAAATTAACATAAAGGGCTGGGTGTGGGAGATGGAATTTATAACCCAGAGTTCTCATAACTCTTAATTCGGAATTTAAGAGTCCATTTATGCTGAAATATTTTCCTGATTTCTTTAAAAAATTCGTAACTTGTTGCGGACTCAGATGCTCATAATGCGATTGTAATTTGCTTGCAATTTGTATTGATGTCAAGATGCGCAAAGTCATCTGTTGCTCCACTCTATCCTCAACAGAGCTCCAAGATAATGTATCGCTCATTTTTCGATTATTTTTCACATATCGACGAAGTTCTAGTACATGATGTCCAAGAAATTTTTCAAAAATTTCCGTTGCTAAATATTTGATTTCATCTTCTAATTGAAGTGTACGACATACATTAAAGATGAATTCGACGACATCTTCTGACCAAAGGAAGTCTATGAAGGAAGCAGATGCGATCCGTTTACAATTTTTATTCGCTAGATCGAGCAACCAGTCTTCCAATAAATCATGAGAGACGTATTTGGAAGATCTGATTTGTTTTAAATCGGACATCACAATCATATCTTTACAGGAAAAAATCAAAGTAATATATTTGTCTGCACCTTTTTAAATAAATTTCTTTTAATTGTTTGTCTATAAGAACTTAAGTTTGAACAGAAGTGCTATTGAAATTTCGTGCTGCTGAAGAATTCGAGACTGCAGACGATTTTGAATTCAGAAAAGATAGTGCTGCCATTACGTTAAATTAAATTTCAGAAATGAACAAATATGTGAATTTTATTGAATTTTTATTGAAGAATACACAATATTTTTTTAAAGTTATTACTGTCGTTTAACTTTATAGAAAGAGCGAAATAATTTCACTACTTATTAAATGGTAATAACGCTTTCATAAATTTCATGTATTTGAAATCGTGCTGAACCTATGCAAGACATTTAATAGATGTGCAAAAGAAATTTTACATTAACATCTACCTTAAAACAAATATAATCGTAATTGTGGACTTTTGTAGCGACATCAAGATCGCAAAACTTCGATATTTATTTTTTATTTTTTTGATTATGTTTGAATGATAGATTTCTTTATAAATTTTGTGCTTTTTATTTCATTCAAGCTGTAAAGTATTTTTTAATCTTCTGATATTTCTCGTAAATAATGAAGAATCTGTATGTACAGTGTCTCAAAAACGTGATGGGACACTTGTGCTTTACAAAAGGAAACTGCAATAAAATAAATTTAAAAAACATGTAAAATTTTTTGTGGGTGTGTTTCGTACTTAAATTTAGTAACAATTATTACATAACGTAGATTTTCTCAAAATATTAAAAGAGTAATTTAATAAAAAATACAATTGTTTAGAACGGAGCAGAAAATGGCTCACTTAAGTGATGGGACATTTAATTTTCCATCAAATATTTATCCAAAAATTTTACTTTTTAAAGGGTTTTAATATTTTGTTGGATTTCCTTTTACATTTAAAACATGATTTAATCTTCTTGGGATGGATTCGACTAATTTTTTTTTTTTTTTTTGTGATTTCTGGAGTGATTTTACCCCATTCTTCTTGAAGCACCGATTTTAATTGTTGTTTTGAAGAAATGGTGTGTTTGCGAATTCTTGATTCCAATTCTTGCCAAATATTCTCTATGGGATTTAAGTCTGGAGATTGCGCTGGTGTTTTTATTATTTCAGGATAGTTATACAGCAGCCAGAGTCTAACGTTCAAAGCAGTGTGCTTGGGTCATTGTCTTGGCAGAATTTAAAATCGTTATGAAGGTTCAATTTTCGTGCTGAAGATTTCAAATTTTGATTTAAAATGTCAATATACTTGTACTGATCCATTATACTGTCAATAAAAATAAGATTACCAACTCCAGCTGACGACATACACCCCGATACCATAACTCCTCCTCCACCATGTTTTACTGTTGGCACCAAGTTCTGTTTTCGAAATTCTTCCCTGGGTTTCTCCACACCAAGATTCTACCGTCAGAACCAAATATATTAATTTACTTTTCATCAGCAATATAACTTCATTCCAGTAATCAGAGTTCTTATTTATGTTGGATTTTGCGAAAACCAGTCTGAGTTTTCTATTCTTTTCACTTACGAAGAATTTTTTTCCCCGCTGCTCTCTCTAACCGTGATATCCAGCAGATCGAATTACTCTTCTAATAGCCTCAGGATTAACAATTACTCCATATAATGCTTGTAAATCAGCAGCAACTTTAAGAGCACTCATTCTTGGATTTTTTTTAAATATTTCGAACGATAATTCGCTTTATTCCATTGGATAGCTTTGATGGTCGGCCAGGTCTTCTTTTCTCCTGAATCATATGATTCTTTTTATATCGTTTAATGATATTGAAAACTGTTGAATGACTGAAGTTAACTGTTTCAGAAGTTTCTCTAATAGATTTTCCACGTTCAATATGCAAATTAATAACTAATTTTCGAATTCCATTTCGAATTTCTTTTCGTTTAGCATTCATGGCTGCACAGAGCTAAAAAACACAAAAATTCCAAAACCAACTGGAGAGAAATACTGCACACGATTTTATAAATTATTGGCAATTGCTTTTGAGTAAAAATAAATACCCCAAAAGATATTTTTATTGCTTACTTCAGATGATTTTTGTTGCATAGTACGTAGTGTCCCACTTAAGTGAGCCATTTTCTTTTTCTGCTCCGTTCTAAACAATTGTATTTTTTTATTAATTAATATTTTAATATTTTGAGAAAATCTACGTTATGTAATAACTGTTACTAAATTTAAGTATGAAACACACCCACAAAAAATTTTACATGTTTTTTAAATTTATTTTATTGCAGTTTCCTTTTGTAAAGCACAAGTGTCCCATCACTTTTTTGAGACACTGTATGTCATAGATATAGTAATAATATATGTATGACATGTGTATGTATGTATGTTCATTGCATTTAATAAAACAATGGTACCTAAGAGCCAGCAAATTTTGAACACCCATAGTCCTCCACCCGAAAATGTGTACTTTGAAGCACGAATTTTAAATTTCAATTCCTTTTTATTTATTTAATATTTTGCGCGAATGTAAAGAATTTCTGATTAACAAACTCAGGGATTTAAAAGCAATATGTTGCCATTGCTTGAAATAAAATAATTTTATCTTCCTGTGTGTTGCCATTCGGCCAAGTGAAATAGTTTATCTTTCAGATTTAATCAAAAAACTCATCTACTTACAAGCAATGTGTTGCCACTTCAGAAAATAAAATAGTTTTTTGTACTACGAGCTAGTGTGTCATCATTCGATAAAGATTAAGATATTTAACTTTCAAATTTAATTTGTCTGTTACTGATTAACAAGCTAGACCACTTAGACTAAATAAAATCAGTATTTATTTAATGTTAAGATATCTTCTGATTGTAATCTTAAGTTTCCAGAATGAAGAATGATAATTCTTTTCTTTTTTGAAAAACATATTCACTCGTCTACCGTTTGCTTGTTAATTATACATGGAGCAAAGAATTAATAATGCCATGTTGGTAATGTCATGAATGGGCTTTTTGGAAGTTACACAAACGTACTAAGTAGCAGTCTTGAACTTGCTTCGTTATTGTTCAAGCTGTTGTATGTATTAGTACATTATGTATAGGAAATTTATTTTTGTTGAAGATTTAGACCTTATTTTAATTTCCAGTAATAAAAAAGTGCTGCTAAAAACACAATATTACTTTCCATTTTAAAGCATAGTCATCCTATAGATACTGCATGTATTAGATGTTAAATATTTTGCAACTGTCCTTCAACGAATTTAAAATTGTATGCAATCCATCAAACTGACTTTGAATGCTAAACTCTTTAAAGGTCGTGTAAGGAGAAAGACTGTAGTTGACACAAGTTTCTTAAATTTTTGCTCAGACAGTAAATAAAACGTAAGAGCTATCATACAGTGAAATTCAAATAATTGCTAAGGGCTAAACCTGCCTATACAGTATTTTGTAAAAGGCAATAATTTAATTTCTGATAATATCCGGTAAACATACCTTTTTTTAATTATCATCATAGGATAAAACCTAATTTAAAAAGAAAGAAAGAAAATATGAAAAGATTGAGATTTTAACGTCACTGAAGAGGATTTGTTAAGTTTTATTATTCTCTCACTGAGTGTCGCCGGTTATCAAACTGCATTTGGACTCAAATCTGCTGATGCAAATTTTTTGTCGTTTTATATTTACTTATGCGACATGAATATACGACACGTTTATGCCACACGTTTTATATTTACTTATGCAACACGTTTTATATTTACTTATGCAACACGTTTTATATTTACTTATACGACATCGTACTTATGCGACATGAAATTCAAAAGCAACAGAAAAATATTTAAAAACAGCATATCTTTAGAATTTTCGATAGTGTTAAAGATTGCCATACGTTTTTATAATCGCTATTATTTCTTTGAAATATAGCCGTTCAAGCGTTCAGCCACCTGAAAGTGTTATCATAAAAAAGAAGAAAAACGTGTACATTGATCTTAATGAGTCCAGCTAGGGTCATTTCATAAAAATATATTTACTAATTCTAATTAGACGTATTGTGATTTAAATGCATTTGTACGTAATAAGACTAAAAAATAGAAAAATATTTTTAAGAAATACGTTTATAGCTTTCAATCCCTTGTTTTCCAGAAAGATTAAATTTGAAGTTTAAATCCTACGTTTTACTGAATCCTGAGTGAAACATCCTACATTTTATCACTCTGGTGTAAGACAGTATTCCATTTGAGGCAGCGGCAACACATTGCGTTCATGTAGCCGAATTTGTAGATTGAAATTAAAAGATAAATACCTTTCATTTTGCCAAATGGCAGCAGTCTGGATCGCTGAAGATAAAAATCAAGGTGTTTATGATAGATGGAGCATGACGTCACAAAAGTGAAGCCAAGAAATTGTCAACAAAGTGACGTCACGACTTATCATTGCCGCTATACAGCATACGGATAAAACTTCGAAACATATTGTTAAATAAAATATCACTCACTTTGAAAGCCAATACCAACGTCTTAAGGCTCAGAGAAGTGGCTTTAGGCATAATTTGCATAAAATACCATTGAAACGTTCACTGGTCTTACAGGTTTTTTTACAAGCTCCTAGATTTTATTAAATTTGAAATGGTCATTTGTAAGCCTTATGATGTTTTTATACTCTAAGTAGAAAATCAATTATGTTAAGTATTAAAATTAGAACGGAAGACTTATAAATATTGTGATGTAGCTAACATACAGACAACACCAGTTAAAATGTAAACAAAACCAACCAGAAGTCCGCCTAAGATATATAGTCATGAGGTCCATAACGTGAAGAGCATGGCTTCATTTTCATTGCACGGAACATATGGAGGAGGCTTACTTCATTAATTTTAACCTTCTTGATAAAAATGTTTTATTTCGAACAGTGCTGCCTCTTTTTGCTTTCAAATCGCTGAATTTGTTAAACAAAAATTTGTTAAATACGTACAAATTATGAAATAAATCAAAAATTAATTCTGAATCTAAAATTCGAACTTCAAGGTGCCCATGTTCGGGTAGAGGACCATGCGTAGTAAAAATTCGGTGGCTCTAAGTGCGAGGTTTTTCCACAGTGAGGAATATACATGCATACATCTAGATTTTTCATTATTTA